ATTAAATAATACTCAAGATCAATAAAATCAGTAATATATGCTTATTTATATTTAATAATACTAATAATTTACAAATGTATAAAAATAATAATAATATTTTTTATTTACTAGCATAAAATATATTAATGTAACTTATTCCGATATAAAAAACTTATTTTGAAGTTTATTTTTGATATCAATAAAAATATCAAAAAACAAGATCGTCTACATCATATGGGTGAGCACGATAAATTTTTATAAAAGATGTATGATATGATGATTAAAATACTTTTGACTAAAATCAAATTTATAACAAAAAACTAAATTTTGGTTTAAAATTTTATGTATCGTACTCATTCTGAAGAAAACTTAAGACATTGGCTTCAAACGTCAAAAGTACCAGTAGAAATTTACCAATCTTAAGGCTCATAATATGATAATCGGACCGACATCGACAAAAACGGTTGTAAAAAATCTTTGGTGATTTTCATTGTAACATATCATATCAATATTTATCGAACTAATCCAAAGAACTTATTTTATTATTTTAATATCAAATGATGCGAGGACAAATAAATGAAAATATTATATTTAGCATTTGATTACATGTTTCGAAGGTTAAATTTAAAAATAAACATTTAATACTTCTTTTTAAGGAGCTAACTCGAAGAGGTTATTCCTGTAGAAACTATCCATTAAAATATTTTCACATTCAAACTAATGAGAATATTTTTTAAACCAGCTGCTACATAATACATAATAAATATTTCGGAAGTTCTTACTTAGTAAGGGTTAAATCACATGATAATCAATAAACCTGTTACATTTACGGAGATTGAAATTAATGTGGGTTTAAAGCCTGTCATATCTAATCGCGTATTTATTACCCTTTGCAAAAGATTTTTTTTTCAACTTGATTTTTTGTCCGAATATGCGTCTTACAACATATTAAATGTTTCTTCTTTTTAAAAATAAAAAATTTGCCAGTTAAATTCAAATCTACCAATCGAAATCAACATAAATAAGTAATCTCATTCTAACAGATTTGAGTATATATCTAAAACACTAATCTGGTTCGTTTAAAATAAATATAATCTAGGAACAAATGTGGAAAATTAAAATAAAATGGAGATTACAAATATCATATCCTCATTTTATTCGTTAGGGTCGTTCGATCACTATTTGGACTGAAAACTTTTATAAATACTTTTTTTTGTATTGAAAAAAGTCAAATTATAAAAATGGAATGATATGATATGCTGGGATAAACACAAAAAATTAATCTCTAAACTTTCGACTAGTAGTACAAATTAAATTAAAAAATAATCATTTTATTTAGAGAGTAGTGTTGTGATAGGTGCAAATAATTTTAGCATTTCCGAAATTGGTAATTGATGTAATCAATTTCCGGAAGAATCTTCGAGTAGTAAAAAATTGGTTCTAAATATGGTAATAGTTGCAGATTTAAATAATATTATAAATATTTACATTTTTGAATCATTTTTTCGTTTCATTAATGTCTACAGTCTGCTACATTGTTGCTTTACCACAAACTCACTTTTATTTAACTCGATATTCAAGCGGAAGCGCTTTTCATCGATTCATTACAATCAAGATGCCAATCTATTCAGCAACCACAATCTTTTATATAACATTACAATCAATTAGCCTCATATTGATATTATTCTTAATTTTTTCTCTATTGAGGTCAAAACCACATTTTACAAAGTGGACTCTGTTTCAATTGTTTCTTTCAGCATTCGGAAATGGCTTGTCTGCTTTATTACCGATAGTTATGTATGGGGATGAATTGGATATTCGAGCATTCGAATCTTCAGTTTGCATAATATCAAGTAAACTTGCAAACCTCACAATGTATCCTTTAGAATTCTTTGCATTAGTGATCATATTCTATTTATGGCACGCGTTAGTCAAGCGAAGTATTGACATTGAAAAGAAAACCTTTGTTTATTTTTCTGGAACGATTTGGATGTATACCATTGTGTATAACATATATGAGATGTTTCGTTTAAGACAACAAAAAAATTGGGGTGTTAGAACATCATTTTTTAATTGCATAACAACACATAGTGTACGTAACTATTATGGATATGTAATACCGATATCCATTCTATCTTTTATCGCGATAATTATGACATGTAAGGAATCATTTAATTATTTTCACAATTTTCAAAAGAGAAATTTAACTTTTATTTTATCTCAAATAATTTAGGTCATTCAACTATTATCTTATATGAGCGTTGGAGAAATTTCAATTGTAACATGAATAGAACAACAGCGATTAAATTAGGACATGCAGTTCGTTTACACATTTTGTGTATATCAATCATAGTCCTTACATTACTTAACCTTATCCCACGAATCTTTTATTTGGAAACAACAGTAAGCTATTTTGCAGCAGCACTCGTGTAAGTATACATACAAATTCTTGTGTTTTTGTTTCTCTCTTTTTTTTTTAAGAAAAAAAAATTTATAAAATACCTTTTTTTTGGTCTATAAGTGGGATAGTATTATTTTTAATCTTCGGAACAAATAGGAAAGCAGCATTATTTCTTCCATTTTGTTATTATGTTCCTCCAGACAGATCAGGAAACGAATTATTGCAAGCCGACCAAGAGGAGTATAATTTCAATGTTTAAGACCCTATATTATATCCCATTTTAATTTTTTCAAATTATAGATTCGTTAAGTCTTTATTATCGTGTATGAATAAAAACCTAGCGATAAATTTATATGTCAATTGGGTTGGGAATATCAGTCTATTAAGATTCGCCGAGATAAATATAACTCCTGTAAATTTTTTTTTTTCGTGTCAAAACAATCTAATCTGCATCATCACATTTGGCTATTAAATTAACAAATCTCATTTTTTTTTATATTCATGCAAATTATAAATATCAACTTTATAGAAAAATGTATATTTATATCGAAATAATAATAAAGTAATGAATAACATAACATGCATCTTTTATTTAAATATTAAATTAGATACATGCTATTATGCCGCACTTTACATAAATAAGTAATTATATGACCTAACCCTAATCCAAAGATCCTGCTCAACATTATGCTTTGCGCTTTACAAACCTTAAAGTCTAACATCATTTTTTCTTTTTTTTTCGAGTAGATTCATTGGGCATGTACGATTATCCGATACTAAAACATTATCGGCGGGAACATTTATTGGTTCGGAGACTGCCGATACTAGCCCTTATAAGGTCTGATCACAAAATCAACGTTAAACTGCGCAGGGCGCATCCTGTGTATTTCTAAATAAATAATTATTTTATATATGATGTAATGTATATACATGTTTATATATATATATATAAACTTTACTAATGAGAAAGTCAAAAAAATAAATTATATATATCTATAAATATATCTCTATCTGTTTGTTTTATAAAAATGAATATGAAAAGGTAAGATGTTCATTTTGACATATGTACAGAATGATTTTTTCTTTAAATGGATTTATGCCTCGGAGGTTAAGTAACCTGAGTTGTATTAGTATTATAGTATAGCTTCCCCAACTTGAATACTGATTACTTCTTTAGCTAATAATCATTAAGTATCATCTTGAGAACTAAACTGTTTGTTTGATTCATCTGTCTGGATTTCTTGTATATGTGTAGTACCTGGTGGAACGTAGTAAAATGGAAGGAAGATCACTGCCTTTCTTTCCGTTCCAAATATGAGAAACAAATATGTTCCTCTAAAAAAAAAAAAAAAAAAAGTTATTACTCAAGGATCAATGATAAATCATTCTCTTGCAAAATGATAACTCACATTAAAGCCGAATTTAAGCTAGCAATTTTGATGATTTTAAATTTGGCAATCATGTATTCATCACCCACGATAATTCGAGGGATGGATAACAAAAGCAGCCAAATTATAAACATGAAACACCAAGCGCACAAACGTACAGCCTCTCCTAATCTAATCGCCGTTCTCCTATTCATGCAATGTCTCCAATTTAGCCAACGTCTCCATACCATTACGATCGAATGACCTTAATAACAACAAGATTACAAGATTAGTAAACAATCCTTAAAAATCAACATGAAAAAAACCAATAAATGACGAGCTTACATGTCATCAAGAATGTAAAAAATAATAGGACGGCAGCACTAATGATAAACCCAATGAAGGAATCATGATTATCACTGATCTTGCAACTGAGATTGGTGGGTTTAACATCCCAATTCTTATTTTTACTAGCAGACTTTAATATTATTGCGTTATAAATGGTTGTATAAATCCAAATTAAGATAGAAATTTTATTAGACCACCTTTTTTCAAAATCTAGCCTCATGGTGAATAAAGCGTGCCATAAATAAAATGCTAGAGCGATAGAGAACAATTCTAGAGGGTATAGGAAATACAATGAAATTTTTTGCATTATTATGCATAAAGGGTTGTCAAATGCTCGCGCTATTAAATCATTTCCGTAAATTATTATCGGTGGAAGTCCAACGAGCCCATAAATAAACGCCGACACACATAATTGAAATAATGTCCATTTCAAAAAGAAGGATTTGGATTTTAGAATTACTACCGTTAGGCATGATAATAAGAAGAGACTCATCGACTGTAATGAGATAAAAACCACCGAAATTGTTGAATAATTTGTCATTGCGTGATTGTCCCATATGTGGGAGGCTTTTGAAGGGAAAGTTGATATTTATAAATGCGATAGCAAAAGCTTTGATTCCTTATAAGGAGATTTATTAAAAAAAAAAACTTGAGAGTTTTCCGTGTCACGCATAAAAAAAAGATGGTGAAATGAAAGGAATTAATAATAATGAACTTTAAAAAACTCGAGAAAAAAAACTTAAGATATAATTTGCAGTATTGTTTATATATTCCTTTCATATAGAAAGCTGAAAGGAATAGGTTTACACAAAGTTTTTATTTATTCATCATCATTGACATTCTAATTTAATACTATATAGAATTATTTATTCTCATATTGGATTGCTGTGCCCATTAAAATAATTTTCTTTGAAATCAATCTTCAAATTTCTAAATTAAGATGGTTTTTAAAGAAAAAAAGAATTATTGATTAAGATTTTTTTAATAAATGAGATGGGAATTATTAAATGTTTGAAAGTAAGGCATACTAACCAAAAATAAGTGTATTATTATTTAGAAAGATTGGAGCGGCAAATTGATATCACATTTCGAAGATCCTCTTGTGGAGGATATTATCGTAACACGAAAGATTATTGGTTATAAAATCAGAGAATTTTTGTTTGCAAAACAAATATAATTTATCATTTAAATGACAAAACGGGTTAAAGCTCATATACGAAAAATAAATGCTCCTTAATTGAAAACATCAAAATAGAACAGCAGATTTGTTCTCTCGATCGGGAAAATGAATAAGTTATTGAGAAATTAAATGTTTCGTCGGCGTAATTTTATTTATATACAAATATATATATATTTCCTAAATAAAAAAATAAATAAAAAATAAAAATAAATGATTATTTGTCGGAAAAATTTTTTCTATAAAAAAATGTATGCATTGTGCGCATGGAATCTATTGTCATAAATTGGAATTTCATAATTCCCATTTGTATATATTATATTATATAATCTAATTTTTTGTTTAGTAAGGCCATTTTGATAACAAAGAAATTCTCCATTTATGGTTAGATCCTTTGATTCTTTGAATGTTCATTGGAAAAAATTCATCAATTGAGAGAGCATGTGTGAATGTTTTTGTGTTTTTGGAACATATTCCTTTTTTATTTATTATCTTTTTTCCTGCTTCCTTTATCATTATTTGTATTATGAAAGATATTGGGACACCAATCTCTCTAAGTTGATTAGAATGACAAACATTAAATATTAGGCGTCAAAGACGAATATTTTGGGATGCATCACGAAAAAACATACCAATCGCAATCGTTCGTGGGGATAAATGGACTAGATTTCTCGATCAGCCAATAAACTTTCCTTAAAATTTTATTAATAAATATGGAGTTTTCCGTTGTCAATTCTTCCTTTCTCGTTCAAACCTCCGCTCTACGCCCCAAATCCAAATGCATGAGAAAAAAATCATTGAAAAATAATTGGCGTTTTTTAAAGTTTTACAAGCAATGCGAATCAAGTAAAATTAAATTAAAAGTTAAAAAAAAACCCCCCAACGTATCACAATCCTCCCCCAAAAACCGTTTCAATAGCAAAAATTGCGCTTTATATTTGGGAAAACGTTGTCCCTTTTTTTTTTTTTTTTTTTCATAAACCTTCCTTTTTTTAAAAAAGAATCACTCACCTAACAAGATGTTTCTCTAAAGCGCTTTGTTTATGTAACGCAATTGGGGGAATGCATTTAAATTAATGGATTTCAAGTTTGAGGTTCACAGGAAATAAACTTTTAATATTAAATTTGATTAGCAATTAATCGAAAAAATGACATGATCGACGGCTAAAACAAACGATGATGGGAGCTAAGCCCACGAAATAGGTCAATCTAGAATCCTTAAACAATAACGAAACGATTATATTGAAATTATCATTATAGTAATGATATTCCAAATTTCATAAACATCTTTATTGTTTGTTAAACGTTAGATTCCGAAATTTAAAACGAAGAGATTAGAAAAAACTATTATATCGAAAAAAAATTAACTATAATCGAATCTTCTGAAAAGAGTAGAAGTAAAAAAATAAAAGGAAATACGAATAAAAGAATTAAATCTTATTGCTATTATACAATAAAAATGGAATAGCGAAAGTGTACTTGCATTAGCTTAATGTTGAATGTCCTTGTCGCAACAAAGACAAACTAATAATCTTATGTGTATTTATAGTAACCCAAAATAAGTTCCGATTTTTTTTTGAAAATTAAGATATTTTCGTTATTGTGAAGTAAAATTATTTTTTTTTTTTTTTTGAAATATTTCTCGTAGTATAAAAAAATGAAAATAAAATAATTAAATAAATTTGTAACGAATAAAAAAAAGAATAAATAAAAAGTATATTTGTTTTTAAATCTTTTTCGAATACCATCGAAATGTTTTAAGGAAGATTTTAAACTCATCAACTTCTGGTCTAACACAATCGTAAATGGTGTCGAACACCTCATCAGAAACTCCCCAAGCTGAAGTGAATAATAATTTAAACGCGTCGAAAGTCATAAAACAATATGCCATCACCTAAGCAGAAAGTAAAGCGAATTTTTAATTTTTTTTACTAATCCATAAGTAAAGATACGTAAATCGTTACACACCATTTCGCCCAATTGACCCGCCCTGCTTCCTAATGGAATATTTTCTTCTTCATAGTAAACTTCTGATAACTTTTGACAATTTTTTAAAAGTTGTGGAACGTAGGTTTCGGGTTGAGGGTTAATTCCTTTTGCTTCAAGTCCGGATTGTACTAAAATAAGATGATATAGGAATCAACAAAAAAAAAATCAATGTAACACAATTTAATTTGTGTCTGTCTGATTGCGCATTTATTGTGTCAAGTATGTAGAAAATTGTTCTTAATTGTTTTGTCAAATGTCGAGGATTTTTTTTTTTTTTTTATCGTTTTTTATTTATTTTTTTATTATATAGAAAAGTTTACCTAATCCCATATATTCCGCGAACTTTGGACCCGAGTTTTGATAATCAATATCATAATCAAAAATCTCCACCCATCCACCTATTTGAATTTTAAATTAAACCTTATTTATTGATCACACGAATTAAATTCAAAAAATGGATCAAACCGTCTTACCAGGTTTAGTCACACGTATCATTTCTCGAGTATAATATTCCCATTGCTTATTAATCACATTATTTCCCAAAAACCCTTGAAACACAAAATCAAAAGTCTCATTTGGAAAAGGAAGTCCATTGTTTAAATTATGCTGTAGGAAAGCAACGTTTTGTGGAATATGGTTAACACCAGGAAATATAGGGGACATGTCTATACCAATGAACGAGGAGTCTGGATATTCTTTTGCCATGTCCAATAACCATAGTCCAGTACCACAACCTACATCCAAGACTTTCGCCCCTCCAGCCTTTAATAACTCGTGCACTGGTGATGAAAAGATTCTTTTCCAGACAAATTTTAATATGTTGTGCTGCAATTTCAATCTGTAAGCTGTAATCGAAAATAAAAATAAATAATAAATAAATAAAGTAAATAAAGGGTTTAAATATTTCTCGAATAAATTTATTAGTATACCTTCTTTCTCGTCATTTGGGAGTAAATAAGTTACATCGATTAGATTATGATATCTTCTTCCTTTAACATAGCGAAACGAGTCTAAAATGGTTTTGGTATTATCTAATTTAAGCGGATCTGAAGAATCAAGTTCTTTGATGGCATTAACATTTTTCATATTATTTATAATACAAAAAAATAAAGGAAACGAAAGTTAATGAATGTTAGGGGAGAGGAAATAATACCAATAAAAATAAATGTATATATTATCGAAATAATCGAAGGAATAAAATAAAATGAAGGATTGTAAAAAAATAAGTAGGAAGATAATAAAATAATGAAAGGTCTATGATGAAAAAAAAATGTAGAAAAAGAATAGCATTTTATGTTAAAAAATTTGATCTACATACAGTAATTTTAACAAGGAACCACCATTCTCTTTATAGTTTAGTTTCTTGTTAGAGACCGTGCACCGCTTTTTTTTTAAAAAAAAATAAACAATAGTTAAAATTTATTACCATTGATAAAAAAAAAAAAAGTTGGCTACACGAGCTATCCGAAGAAAAAATTCTCAGAAAAGAAGGAAAAAGAAAAAAGGGAACGGGTGTACAATTAGAGAATATGTAAGATCAAACGATAAGTCAAATTCACTGTCTTAATTCGAATTCTGAAACTCATTTAAAACTACATAAACAAAATTATATAGCATCTTTTTTGGAAATTGAAACGCACACTGGCGTCTTGTTTTCCTCGAAAGTAAATATAGTAATATCATATGGTCCTGTTGACAAGGAACAATGCATACTACTGATTCCGCTTAAAATTCATCGGAATAGGTCAAGCCACCAAACTTAATGTCTGCATATTTTATACTTTTCAGTATTTACCGATATTTTTATTTCACGAGTTATAAATTTGGTTATATTAAAGTTATAATTATATTTCAATTTAACCATACTTGTTTAACAAGTAGATTTAAATCGCTCTCTTGGTTTATTATAGCTCATCCCAAGATGGAAGAAAAATAACAAGAATAATCTAGACTACTCACAAAATATATTATTAATTAATGGTTTGATCTTGCAACTTATTGTAATAACACAAAAAAAACAATATTAACAACGTTAACTATAAAAGTATTAAAGTTTATAGGTTTTCATAAAATCGCGTCACAAAAATCGAGTTGCAATGCTCGTTACACAAGAACTAAAACCAAACGTTATTTCAATTAAACAATTGTAAATTCATAGAAATGATGGATTGGAAACTTTGATTGGTAGAAATTATTGTTGGGGTGTTTTTTTTTTTCAAATTATTCATTTGAAGCAACTTTTGATCTGCTAATTAATAAATCAAAACCAAGATTAAATCGCGACAATCAAATGTCCCATGTAAAAAAAAATTTCTTGGCGAAAACGTGAGAATATGTAAGGGAAAAAAAACTCGTGAAGATGATGAACCCTTTGGTAATGCACAAAGATTATTCAATATTCGGTTAAGACGAGCATGTTAATTTAGTCATAATAACTGCAAAATGGAAAAAAAAAGAAAGAATCTTAAAAAGATTAATAACCACATTCTAAAGATGGAGATCTTGGTAACAATAACATTTGATGAGATGCATGTTGAGATGATAATCTAAAGGTATTAACTGTAATTTCCTTCCAGGTACGTTTTGAATAAACATTCATCCAAATCGCGAAAACCGGTCAATCTTAATTCCATTTGACACGTCCCTATCTAAAAAAAGAAGTCCAGGTTCGATATATCCCTTTGCCTTTGGATTAATAAGGACTCGGGTGTTACCTTATTAATGCATGTACGTTAATAAATACAATGTTCGGTCATTTAATTAATTAAGTGTCACAAGTTGCCTTATTTCTTGATTCCTTTTTATACGTAATATTAAATCATCGGAATACCCCCATTATGTATCACGCGTATTGAAGAGAATCGAAGAAAGTAATGAATTGTAATTTCTTTAGTCCATAAATTTCCTTGATATTCATACACCCGATTGCACATGATAATTATTGGCTGTCCAACTTTTTTTTTATACGGCGTTACTGTTCTCTCTCATTAATGTGCTGACATAATGGATTATATAATTGAGAATTTGAATTTAATTAAAGAAATCTCCGATGATTTTTAAAGATAAGATCAGAATCCAACTTGTTTTATTATTAAACTTAATGATGTACAATACCGGAGCCAAATAAATTATTAGTCATCATTTCTTACATCCATATTATATTTCAAAGCCTTTAGATCAAGGTAACTAATGAACGCCAATGAATTTTCATATCTTTCCTTAAATTGATTAAATAATCAATAACGCAAATGCGACCTAATTTAGGAAAGTTCATCGCAATGATTACGATAGATCCGTAATTATTTTTTTTTTTTTTTTTTTTTTTTGCACGGTTGAACTATAATGATATCTAATATTCAACCATCAGCGGTATTATTTTATCCCTTAAGCCTAATTAACGCATTACCCTTTTAACAAAAGTCAATAAGGGATTTTCGTGTACATAATTACTATTATATATATCTCTCTCTCTCCTGTATCTGGCTTTGGTTCCAAAATCATTTGTATTTTCAGAGAACATGCATGATTCCTTTTCCAAAACTTAAATAAATTCTTGCTCTCCGGGCGCACATCGTACCACGACCCTGGGCATGAGTTCATGCCCCGGTACAAAGTTGTGCCAGGATTTCAGTCCGATTAAGGATATTATTCTGGATATCAATTTTCCCACATAATTGGCCCTAAGAAAATATTATGAGCACAATTTCAATTCCTCCTTCCAATTTATCTAAATTCTTTTTCTGTTTTTAAATAAATTTGTGAATGGCACTTTATAATTTCAAAGTATTCTAATATTCAATATATATGTACTAAATATTTCTGCTCGGTCAATATTTCGTTAAATTAGAATGTTATATTCATTTTGAACAAATTTTAAAGACATTTCATTCCAAATTACAAAAACCGTTCTAAACCGCCTTTACCATTGATTACTTATCCAATAACCGTCACAATATCTCGTATGTTACAAATGAGCCACACGTTTGATAGAAAGAAACCTCCTCAACTTAAAGTATTAAAGGTTCCAACAATTGATAGTGAAATACCCATACCTCGTCGTGAGAGATGATTGAAGCTCCAAAGAGAACATAAAATATTAAATTAACAATATTTCCAATTTTTCTACACCTTGGATAGAGAAATACTATATCACCGATATTTGAAATTCTGTGCATTCTGTATAAATTCACATCAATGACCTTAAATGAAAAAGGTTAAAATTATGCCTTAAATCAGAATCGATAACAAAATGCAATAAATAATTACAGACATTTTGATTAGAGAAAAATGAAAGGATTTGTACATGAATGTTATTATTTCGTTTGATAATAATCCACGTAAATCTTATTAAACAATGGGTTTTTTACTGTGTGATGTTTGCATGACACAAGCTTCGATCATTCCAAACAATTTTGTTACTTCCATAAAAGTTTTGTTTCATAGATTTTGCAACAATATTATTATCTTTAGAAAATATGACATTATGCATGTTTGGATTTCAGTTGATCTGCTGCGTATTTTTTTAATTGTTCATTTAGATGAATGATTAAGAATTCTTTGGTGATCACCTTTTTTTAAGAGAATCAATAATTTGAGTACAGAATCAGCCATGCAATTTTGAAATCATTCTATATCTTAAGCATTCCAGTAAGTTGATATATTACTTGAGTACTTGAACAAGGTGGTGAAAGTCTGACGGAAGGAGTTGATGAAGTTGATGAAGTTGGTGGAAACGACTAATGATATTATATTCTAACGCATTTTTTAATGACCATTTGCTATTAAAACACAAATTCCAAAGTTGATTTTATATATAACTAAAAAAAAAAAAAGAGGCTCTAATCAAAGATTAACCTAGTTTGAAAACCCACGTCATCATTTCTCATTCTTACTAATCGTTTCAATTTGAAACATTTTGCTGTTAAACTAGACGTAAGCTTATTATTCCAAAAGGATCGATTTTTTTAGCACTGATGGTAAGAGTTTTTCAACACAGGATTTTAAAAATTTTTCTATTAAGTTGATCCTTCTTTTTTTTTATTATTTAAATTTGCCGATCATGTTGGGCACGGCTTTTTACAGCAGAATGAATATCGTTTTTAAAGTTACAAGTTATGAAATAATGAGTTCCACCAAATAATCATTGGAATGCATTTCATGTAATTAATTATGATATAACTGATAAATGCATTACTTAGTTTTTGTTGTATTATTCTTCTAAATCCTTGAGAGGTTAATTTAAGAATCCCAATGGACCAATTACATAGATAAATATTTCATCGGGAACCTTTGCTCTGCTCCTTATGCTTAAAATACAAATTTTCTTCTGTTGAAAGATTTCCTTCTAAATATTTTTATCAAAGATCTACAATTCTTTAGAGAGTATTCTTTCAACTTTTCAACGCTTAGTGAAATAAGATACAGGTTCAAATTTACAATCCTTGAGAATTTTGTTTCAAATAATTATTAACTTCTCGGTTGCATTATCATCGAAAAACTAATCAGTTGTTGCTAATGTTTCAGGCGAAAATAGTCCCGTCCAAATCGTCCAAATTGATCTCAAATGCGTTTCAAAATTAAAGGTTTCAGATAGTAATATCGGGCGAAACTGAAAGTTCAATAGGCTAAATGTTTTGGATTTAAGAAAATGGTTTGAAACACTAGATTTGTAACCACTTCCTGTCGTGCTAATTTCCCTCGAAGATAGGAAATACCGATATTATTAATATTGATGAGTTTTTCGATAGTCGAACCAAAGCATTTGCAATTTTTTGACATGATAACGCAATTTGACTTTAATTCCGTAGAGAGAGTGAGTCCAAGGAAATGTTTGAAGTTTTGAAAGGAATTATGGAAATTAGAATTCGAACCCCGGCTGAAAGGTACTAAAAAATGAGGATGATACATCGTTATTATTATCATTAATTACTCACGTGTTTTATTTTTTTTTTTGAAATTTTAGCACATATAAAAAATTTTCAATTTTCTTTTACGAAGTGAATTGTTAACTTCAGGATCGTGGTAAATGGATAATATGAGATTTCTATGACAAAAAAAATAGCGTTATAAATATAATTTAGAATAAATAATTTTATAAATTTATAAATTACCTTTGGATGAATTGGCGTCATTTCAATATAATACTAAAAGATGCGACCAATCAAAAGCAATAATAAATGTAATACTGTAAATTTATAAAATTAAAGCTTTCATTGGATAACTTTTATTTTTTTTTAATCTTGGTCAGCAATTTTGAACTTTTTCTTCGTTATTTCACTTAGGTTATCGTACCTTATATCCTAATTCCGCGAACCGTGGATTTCTTTATGTGGGATACTTACATAATAATGACAGAAATATAATTAAAACACTTTCATATCAAGACAGACGACTTTGCGTCCTATTTCTTCAAGTGTTTTGTATTTCTAGAAAACAATTAATTTTTAATTATCATCTCCACACTCGTTTTGGAATTAGATTTAATCTTTTTATGTAATGTATGCATAAGGAATTTTTAATGAATTGCCCCATGGGATTTCACAAGTATTTCGGTAATCGTTATCATTTACGGTTAAACTCGTGAAACTTGAAATTATTTATGATAAAAACAAATCTTTTGTAACAAATGACAGTTTTTAAATTCGGAAATAATGAAAGTTAATGATTCATGATACATATACGATAAATAATGCGGACTTTCTTTAATACGATTTCTTTATGGTAACGGTAAATGCCTTCATTGAGCCAACATAAAAAAATTTTAAAGATTTCTCCCTTTGCCATTGACAAGCGCCCATATTTGCAAGAATATTATAGGCAATAATTATTGCTATCCTCGAAGTGGAGGATATAAATAATCGCATGAACGTTGACTAATATAGTTAACAAGTTAATCATTGTGTACCCTTTGATATTAAGTTTTGTTTGTTGTGCTTGTGACCAACCAATTAGTTTTAGTTGATAATCAATTATCAAGTGATGCAAAAGTCACCTGAAGTAAGTTCACTAAATGCGCCATAATGTACCCGACAAATCAGATGACTTTGAAGATTTCCATCTAAAGTCAAATTAATAATTTTACAAATTTACAAATTGGGTTTGGTCGGATGTCTTTATTTCTTGATTTGGTTACACCATTCAAGTTTATCCTCTATAAAATGTAACCATTTATCCCGAACCTTTTCACTTCGTCATCGACATGAGTCAAACCTGTCATTGTTATAGTTGTAACATTCTTACTCATTCACAGAAACCTTTCTCATCAAATAATGAGGATAAACAAAATCTCATCTTACAAATTTGTAAAAGGATTTTTGAAGCTATTCAATATAAGCATACATCTACAGAAATTTCTTATAATGGAAAGGAAATGGAACATAAACAAATTAACAACGTTACCGAGGTTGAAAATTGTATTAATGAAGAATTTAGTCAACTTAGAGATAATGATAAAATATTAAATTATGAAGTAAAAAAACTTTTAATCGGTATTTGGAGGATTGAGTTCAAATGGACTAAATCTAATATTAATCCATTGGTCAATCGTCTTTTAGAAATTTCAATGAAATGGTATGACTCTTTCGTTAAATATATTCAGCAAAAAGATTATCAAAAGAGATTGGGTTGGCGAGATTATAATGATAAAGATGCTAAGAAGGGAGAGTTAAAGAAATACCTTTTAGAAAATCTAGAAAAATATCTTCCGGGACTTGAATATTTATTTGAATATTCTTGGATTTCACTTGATGAGGGTAGTAAGTTTCATGAGGGTGATTTCATATTTGCTTCAGATGTTGGTATTTTTGTCGTGGTTGGAGTTAAATGGTTGGATGTAAATTCGGGACCTGCTGCGAAGAAATCTATTGAAAGGGAGGTTAGAAAGTTTAAAGAGTTGGCCGAAAAGAAATGTAAAGGAAAATACATTGCGATCATAGGAGCAACATTTATGAATAATCCCGATGAAGATTCACTAGACAAATATACTCTTGAGTTTATTGAAAGCGATAAAATCATTGCACAAATTCTTCCAGAAACTCATCAAACTCGCTCAAAAACAAAATCAACTTTAATTCAACAAGGTAATTCGTTTACTTCACTTGTATCATGCTTGAATTATCTTCATGTTTATTAAAAAAAAAAAAATTTTTTTTAAATTAGAACAAGAGTCTAGCGGATGGTCATTTGGTGGTTTAACTGGTTTAGCTGCAATTGCAGCGACAGGTTATGTGATTTTTCAATCATTTACAAAAAGAAATAACGATTAAAATGTTAAATAAGTGATTTTCATTATTTATTTATTAAATTAAAGCTAAAATTAGATTAACAACATCATGTACATGTACGTGCTTAATTGTGCAATCCTCTAAAGTTAGATTCGACAAATTTGAATCGACAATAAACAAGTCATGTTTGTTTATAAATTATTTTAAACGAGTGGAATTTGACCATGTCTACCGAGAGAAGGAATTCGATCAACGAGAAATTCACTAATATTACTATTTTACCTTCAGATTTCTTTTTATAATGTATTTTGGACAGTATTCCACGTGAATCGTGTAACGTCACCAGAACAAAATTCTTTGATTGGTGCGTAGCGTAGCATCGAAGATTTTGACTATGATAATTCAGCATTATGCATAGGAATAAGGAAGACTCATCGTACATTGCATATATTTAGCTAGCAATTTCAAAGGAAGTGTCGACGGTCGAAAGCGTTGACGTGATGTGTTCATATAATAAGGTTTGACGCCGATCGCAGTTTTGATTTGTCTTATATTGATAAATTTGATAAATTTATACATGTATATATACCGTATTTAATCAATTGCCAATCAAAACATTAATGATTGATTTTATAAACTCGAAAAGACTTTAAAAATCAGTTAGATGAAATATTAAGAGTTTAAAAAGGGGGAGGTGTTTTTGTTTGGTAATCTAAGCAAAAAAATTTTACCACGTGATAAAATAAAAAAATTAACAAATGAAAGAATAAATAAAGGTCATGTTTAATATTTATATTTATGATAGTTTCTTCTCTTTATAATAAATTTCTGCAAGATCACGCGTTCCAAACTAGGTTCGGAATTAGATAATTCATTGAGTTAATTGAATGACTATGATCATATTGGTACTGGAAAAAAATATACGTGATTACGGTTGGGAAATCATGATTTTGGTAGTGAAACTAATTATGATTATGGCTAATATAAATGCCATCATATATCATCTTACGGATCATATGATTTACTATGTGATTTAATAGCCGATCTGTATTTCGAACGGTACTTTGACAGCATTCGCATGTATCATAGCTCGAAATTGCCTCTACTTGAGAATCCAAGTTAGATCAATAAATAACTTGTTATTAACTTTTGATTTAAATGATAGGTTTGGGAAGGCTGTGCAGATTTTTCAAATTTGCAAATTTAACCTTCTGCGGCATCGAATTGGTCAGATAGTTTTGAGCATCGGAAACCCAATTTCTAAAACCTTCATAATATTGATAAGCTGTTGTCCATTTGATGGGTTGGCATTCAAGCATAAAGAATATAAGTAGCTTCTACGACACATGGTCTTTATCCAGAGATTTCTTGAACAAGTTGTAAATTATTATGGGGTCTATCATCATAAGGCGGTGCCATAAATTGGTTGTGATGGGACCGTGCAAAACACTATCTACGATTCTAGTACCTATTTAATCTGCTTCTAATGTGGAAATATTACTTATCCAAAGAAAATGTAACATGATGTTGGATATTTGGTCATAAACCAACAATCCGCCAAAGCGCCGTTCTGTAATATCCATATAACTCGTTTAGTGAGATTTAAGAATAAACGGAGGATGATGATGTAATCTAACGATTATAATCAGGGCGGCTAGTCCAAATATTAAAAAATAAATGCTTTCACCGTGGTTGTACTTTTTACACTTATACTTTTTCTTGCATATTCTTACATATGACTCGCTTATTATTTACGAGAAATTATAAATCTTATAATTCGAACAAGGTTTTGATAGCAAACATCCTATATCGTTATAGATCACTTGGTTTAAAAATTCTTGACCCATATTTAGTGAATTATCAAACCGCTTTAATATAACTTTACTTGATCCGTTACGGTCAGCTTCTTCATAAAATTTCCATTTTGGAACCTCCATCCAGATTGCGGAAGAAATTGTGCTGAAAGCACCTCGTTTGTTAATATTTTCAACGAAAACTAATTTGTCAAAACCAATCCATTCTAGATAGTACAAATTCTCTCCGGCGTTAAGTTGGGTATGTCTATCTATTGTCGACTCTCAAGTGCGAAATTTTTCTTTTAATCTTACAGGATTGCAATATTTACACCATGCTGCTGATTTCGCTTGTATCTCGCATTCCAGTTTTTGATAAAGTACGTTAAAAGATTATTGGTTAAAGAAAACTCGATGTATCCAGGTTTTATTTTGAATTTTGAATTTTTATTTGATTTTTTTTTTTTGTAAAAAATAAAAGAAGCTGTATCATATAAAATATTGAATTACTGATGAACTGATGATGGATGGTATCACATAATCAATTAAATATTCCGGAATTATTAATATGGCCCGGACTATTTAAAAACAAGCTTTATCTGTTATGTGTTGAATGATACAATTATAATATTTCTTGGAATCTTATCAAATCAATAAATTAGTCTAGTTTTGACATATGTAACTTTCTTTCTGTTTTAAAAAAAATTTCAAATTTTTATATATAATATTTATTATTACAATACAGTATCTTCATGTAATCATAAAAATGTCTAAACCTTATTTAGAAATAATTTCAAGAAAAATCAGGTTTATTTTTTTTTAGATCTTATTGATTTAACCAACAATGTTGTTGCGTGTTACACTGCACAGCAATTTTGGGACATATAAAAAAAGAATTGTATAAAATACCTTTGTTATCACACATAAATTGTTTATTCGTTACAATATGGTTTTTATTCGTAGTAACTTGGTTAAAGCTTCAATTGAAAAAACATATTCATTTACGTCTTTTATTTATGACTTAGACATACGAGAGACATTCAGCGCATATATGATTATTGCAGACGAATCTCTTACAGATGAGGAAGCATGTGAAGCAATACGGAAATTAGTTGACGGCTATGACTTACTGAGGGTTACTACAAATACTGGCAAAAAAAGATTTTGCCAAAATTGTCAATTAAAATGTTTAGCAAGAACATATTGTGAAAATTGCATGCGAAAGTATTTAGAAACAAAATTTTTAAATTGGACTTCTGGAAATAATGAAATTGATGATTTGATACGAAGATGTCAAGTTAAGGCTCGTCATCCACAACGAATAATTGAATGGATTCCATACAATAATTTACAAAATATACAATATTTATCCAAAGGTGGAATTTCTGAAATTTACACAGCAGATTGGATTGATGGATGGTATATTTGGGACTCAAATGAACAACAACTAAAAAGATCTGGAACACAAAAAGTAGTACTGAAACGGCTAGAAAATGTTAAATATGCAAATAGAAGATGGTATGAAGAGGTATGTAAATTTAAGTATTAATGTTTTGAATAATACATAATCATAAAAATATCGTTCTTGTTGTATTTTTATAGGCTGAATCTCATATAACCATATGTAATAAATGGGGAAGTATTGTCACATGTAATGGATTAACACAAGAATCAGGAAAATATTTTCTTGTAATGATTAAATTGGATACAGATTTAAGAGGTTATTTAAGAAAGAATTATAACAAACTTACATGGAAGGAGAAAATAAATATTACTGTGAATTTAATTAGCTTTCTTAGTCGTATTCATAAAGAAAATGCAGTTCATAGAGATTTGCATTCAGGAAATATTTTATTCTCAAATTATGATAATGAATTTTATATCAGCGATCTTGGTTTCTGTGGCCCTATTAATAAACCATTAGAAAATATATATGGAAACCTTCCTTATATAGCACCTGAAGTTCTTACTTATAAAAAATATTCTTATGCATCAGATATTTATAGTATTGGTATACTTATGTGGGAAATTTCATTTGAACAATCACCTTTTATTGGTTTTGATGACAATCTAGATCTTACATTAAAAATAATTAATGGAATGAGACCAAGAATAATATCAAATATTCCTTTAAAATATGAACAATTAATGAAACAATGTTGGGATGCAGATCCATTAAAAAGACCTTGTCTTGAAACTCTTTTTTTAGAACTTTATAAAATGAAATTGTATTATCAAAATAATAATATTCAAAAAGCAAATAGTAATAATACAAATTCTAAATTATCAATTAAAAGTAATAGTAAAATTCATAATATTTATAAAGGATTATATGAACCAAGAAATGCTTTTAAAGGTAAAATAATAAAATAATAAAATTAATTATTATAATTAATATATAATTTATTAATATTAACTTATTATTTAATTAATAGAAGAACAAAAAGGTAATTATTTAAGAAAGCTAAAATATTAATATTAAATTTAATTTAACACTTTTTTTTTATTTATTTTTTATAAAAAAAAAAAGCTTATAATAAATTACAACTTGAAAAAGAATTAGGTTTAAAAATTATAATTGGTAATAATATAAATAATTTTGATGATACATTACAAAATGATAGTTTAGGTAATTATTTTATTATAATTTCTTTTTTATTTTTAAGTATAATAATCAAAAATTATTATATATATTTTAGAACAATATATGATTTTATTAAATTAAATAATAATTTTTTTAAATTAATTTTATTTATTACTTTTTTATATATGATTTTATTTATTTATTATATATTTTATTACTATATTTTTTTTTAAAAAAATATATATTATATTTATATTTATAAAACTTTTATATTAAAATTGTTATAAAATTAAATAATCTGTATAATAAATTAATAATCTTATTTTTAGTTTATTATTTGTATCTATTTTATAAATAAAATAAATTAAAATTTATATATAAAATTTATATTAATTATATAATTTATATTAGGTTTGTTTAATAGCCAATAGATCTAATAAACCAATGATCAATAGATCCAATAGATATTAATTTATTGGATGGATAAGTCTAATAAACATATGAGAGACTTGGATTATTAATTTAATTGGCTAATTTATTAAATATAAATTTAATTGATTTTAAAGCTTATAACTTATTAATTATGAATGATAGAAATATGATTTATATTTGTTTTAATCTTTAAATCTTAAAGTATATTCAATAAAATTTGAAATTCATTATTAATATCAATTGTATGCAATTTACTAATCTTACTAATCTATATCAAATTTATACTAAAATAAATTTAAATATAGAAAATTTTATTAGCAGATTAATTACTAAAAAAACTGATACTAGATTTTGATTCTTCTCAATACAACGATTTATATAAGCTAAAATTTGTCAAAATCAGATTAGTAGATTAAAGAAAAATTGATTTACAAGAATACATTACCTATATAAAAAATTTGTTTTTACTAATTTTTATTGATATATAGTATTTTAAGGTTTAAAGATTAAAATAAATATAAAAAGCATTCATGATAAATGAGTTATTAGCTTTTAAAGACAAGTAATTCTACTTGTATTTGTATTTATTTTGCAAATTTTTTTGCAATAATAAATTATATTATATATTAGCTAATAGATTCTAATAGAACTAATAGATTTCAATAGATCATCATCTATTAAGATTTATTAACTAATGATCAATTCATATATACTGTACTATTTGAATTTAATTAATTACTAATTATTAGATTATTTAGCTATTAAAGTATAATAGATCTGATTCATTCATAACTAAAAATGTCATGCTAAACTATTTTTAAAAAATTCAAAGTTCAAAATATTTGAGATTAAACTATTTATTTATAATAAATATCTTTATATAAACTCCTAATAGATTTTTCTATTTATTTTTTAATCTTCTCAAATAAAAGATTTTAATATTTAAAGAATTTCATTTCAAAATAAGAAAATCATTATTCACTGGATTTAATGATGAAAAATTCTATTAATTTGTGTAAAACATATATACTATATATCATAAAATATTTAATATAAAAATAACTGAAATAAATAAAAAAATATACAGATAGTTTTACCATTATATATATTAAGCAGTAATGCGATGTTAAGCTTAAATTATTTATCTTAAGTTAACAAAGATTATTTGCTAGCAAAGAGTTTAAGTGTGTCTAAACTATGAAAGAAATAAACATAAATAATTAAATTGAAGGGTCAGATCATCTTTATCGAAATAGATTTAAAAAAGAATAAATTATTTCACAAGCAAAGATAAGTTTAAAAGATAAATCTGGTAGATTGATCAAATATGACCAATTTGTCATATTTGTCATATTTGTCAGATTTGTCCAATTTGTCATATTGGTTAGATCATCCAACTACTTCAAATCACATGATTGGCTATAGTTGATTAGTGCAGTATGAATCACACCTTCAATCTTTCCCTTTTAAATTTTAAGCTCCTGCCTAAATGATGATAGCTTCATCAACTATAGATCAAAAGAATTTATTTGATAAATGATAAATATTCTTTAAAGTCATGTTCTTAATTCATTGAATTTGGTTTACTTCTAAGATTTCAAATAAATAGTATCAGTATGTCCAAATGGATACATGATTATAATATTTTATAAGAAGTCCTCTTAATTGACTTCTTTAAGATAGTATAGTTATCTCAGTTTTAAGTAATAGTCCTAAGTAGTAAGCATTAGTAAGAGTTATATATGAAGTTGAAATGAAAATCCAAAAAGTTGAAATGTTTTGACTTTGAAGGTTAAAGTCAAAATGAAAAGTCGAAATGGTCGAAATTACGTCATATCACATGATTTTTTATATATAAAAAAAACAAAAAAAAATAAAAGATGTATTATCTCAGTCAATATCGCTTCAATTCATATAAAACAACTATCATTCGATTACTCTTCTCACTCTTTCTTGTTGGATTTTTTCCAAGAATTTTTACTTAAAAAAAGTGACTGTTTAACAGCAGCTACAGCTTAGCCTGCAAATAAACAAAAAAACTCACCTTTCAAAAATATTCCTTTTTTTGTTTCCCACACCCCTATTCACATAAAATTTTTGAAATAGTTTAAACAGTATTGTTTTTTGTTAAAATATTTTTTTCTTCACCTCTTTTTGAATAAATTTTTTCCATTTTTCTCTTTTTCTTTTTTGCCTACTAAAAAGTGTACATCAAGGGACATCCCAACTGACAATCATGATCGATATACTTTAGATAAACAAATCTCACGTGATGATACCTTTCTCCTTCCTAAATAATATACTCTCTTTTGATTGGCTTCTGCCTTTCTGCAGATCTTCTGTCATCAAAAATCACGTGCAAATTTAGCGTAAATCATTACTTTATTTCTTTATGAGGTCTTCTATATGGTGTAATGGTAATTACCACTTGGTTTGTATCTTGTCGGCCTACCGTAATTTTAAATGGAGCACTGGGTGGTCATTGCCATTTGCTTACTCAGTGTAAGTCCACTTCGTCTAGATCTGTTTCTTCCTAATAACCAGGTAGAGGGTATAGGTTACTATCTGTTGATTCATTGTAGGATTCTCGTAGTAGATTCTATGTGATATTTTTTCCATATTTATGAATCTGTAAGTATGAAGAACTTCTGTTTGGACCTTTCTTTGAACACACCTTTTTTGGTCAGGTGGTCATTATATCTAGAATTAACCGGACATTTAGGTTTTTATAGAGTCATGTTAGTCTTTTTTAATAATTTCTATTTGTACCTATTTTCCTTCTTAGAAGGGTTGTTAGTTTTTAAATTTTATTTAAAAGTTGGGATCGAAGGGCATCTAGAAATTACGTTGCTGTATTGACAACCTCATTTGAATTTCTTGTTAACGGCTCAGTCATTAAATATGAATTTCTTGGTTGAGTCAGAAGAGGATTCTGGTGATCAGTCGATCTAAACGGATTTGAGCTTTTATTAGCAATAGGACTACAGGAGATAGTCATAGTTTAGTTATTTTTCTGACTTTGTAATTTTTTTTTATTTAGTATATTATAAAAAACTTTAATAAACTTATGGTAATACTGCATTATTAAAAGATAAAAAAAAACCATTTGATTTCTCGCAACTAGACGAATCTAATGAGTTAGCATTCATTGATTTTGGATCATTCCATCTTGAAATATTTGCGATTATATTTCGAAATCTGAACTCCTTTATTTAAAGTAGAATTTATTGATTTATAATTTCGGCTGATAATACAATTGCGAGTAGTGATGTACATTTTCAATGTCCCAAAAATTTTGAGACTGTCTCACACTATGTCCCAAAATGTCTTACATTAAGTCCCAATGTCTCAGGCCATGTTCCAAAAATGTTCTATAACAACACTGATTGCGAGTATCTCGTGATTGGAGGATCTAAAATCAATGAATGTTAGCTTATTAGATCATCTAGTTTCGAAAAATCAAATGGTAGTTGTTTCATATAAATCGGAGTGATATTGACTGAGATCGTATATCTTTTGTTTTTTGTTTTTTTAAATATAAAAAATTATGTGATATGATGTCATTTTGACTATTTTCCAACTTTAGCCTTCAATAGTCGAAATAATTTTGATCATTTCAACCATTTTGGATATCCGAAATGATCCATTTTGACTTCATGTATAGTTAGGGTAAAGATTCAATTTCTTAATCTTGTTGATCTCAGTTGCATTTGATATGCTGCTAGAATTTTCTTTTGTAAATCCAATTCTAAAGGTAAAGTTGCTTTTAAGTCTTTGATGATTAGTTATTCCATTGATAAATAATTGTTTTTGAAAAAAATAAAAAAATTTAAAGTGTATTTTGAAATGGAAATTTCTTATATATTTTTAGATGATCTTTATTTAATTCTATTTACTGAGAAACAGAATACACGACTATCTATTCCTCTTATTTTGTATAATTCATTTAATAATAGCTGATAGATATAATAAGATTCTTTCTAATTTTGGTCTAATTTTCCTGAATGTGTTTTGTCCTTAGCAGCTTCAAAGTACAAAACCTTATCTCTAATATTATATGTAGCAGAAATCCTTGTATTTTTATCAAAATATTTCTTTATTTTTATTGTGTAAGTTGTACTTGTATTTTTGCCTCTTGTTATACTAGGAGAAGTTTGTTAATCAGATGATCAATTTGATTTTATAAAGAAAAATCTTGATTGATGCAAATATTATTTGAATCTTCAGGATTATCAATTGGTAATATTGCATTTCATCCATAAACTAAATAAAAAGAATCAATTTTTGTAGATGATTGCTTGTTTGTACAATAAGCAAATAATACTGGTGAAATGTATTAGTCCTATTAAATAGACTTTTTTACTAATTTGGCCAAAGATTCATATAAAATTCTATTGAATTTTTTCACTAATCCATTCGTCCTAAGAGGGAATTGATAAATTATAACAAATATAAAATTGTTTCATTAAATATGTAACTAGTTGATTATTGAAATGAGATTTTCCATCAGATAAAATTTATGTAAAGCATCCATATTGATAAATAATATCTTTATATAAAAATTTGATAACATTTTTAGCAGTTGTATCTCTTACTGCTAGTATTTCGCAAAAAATCCAATTCAATCTGAATCTGATTCAGATTTGACAGATCAGATTGAATCAGATTTGTTGGATTTGAATCAGATTCAGATCCAGATTTTGATTTGA